GCAGAAGAGAAAGTTTAAGTCCACTACATATATATACAAATATATATACATACATACACATACACATACACATACACATACAACCAACCATACACATGGTTCATATCATACAACGACGAATCCTCACACGCACGCTGCACACAAAAAAAAGATACGAAACTCAGCAAACGTACGGAAATCCACGCCAATAAGTTATCACCATACCTTGACCATCCCTAAATCATAACCCTTGGGAAAAGCAAGAAAGTGGACAAGATTTATTGACTTAGCACCACTTACCACTCACTCACTTACCACTTACCAAACCCAATTTCATACTCGAGCACTCGTCGGTACCGCTCCATCACTTGACTGTGAAGTTTCATCAAATCCACCAATTATCATTCAATCACCTAGTGGAATGACCCCAGTGTGATTAGATTACCTTGCGCAAGACCCTCCGTCTACATTTGGGTAGATCACGATTCACGATTCACGATTCACGAATTAACTCAATTTACGATTCAAGGTAGTGACTTGGGTGCATTGCGACTAGCTACACACATACACACATACACACATACACACATACACACATACACACATACACACATACACACATACACACATACACACATACACACATACACACATACACACATACACACACACACACACAACCAACTGACCTGACCTGACCTGACCGAACGAAACGGACAAGCGATTCCTACGCCAAGAATAAGAGACCATCTACTGTATCTGCATTGCCCCAGGAATTTCCAATCCGAACTAAATACCTACCTACCTACGTATCTACCTACATCCCTCCCTCCCTAGTTATATATATGAATGTAAAAAGAGAATTACCCGCCGACCATTTGTCTATACTTTTACACAAAATGGCCACTCGTCGTTCCTATAAGACCTCTTCTTACTTTCCTACAAATGGGAGCAGAGACACTCCTCATCGTCCTCATCCCAAGCCATCCTATTCATCTTCTTCCTCGGATGAAGATATTATTGCATCACTAAAAGGTCTTGCTATACAATCAAGGACTAGAGAAATTACTAGTACGAGCAATAGTAATAGTAGTACAAACTCTCCACGTTGCGGTACTCCCGGCACACAAGGTATGTTACGCTTTTACTTTCCAGTGCCAGCCTTTCCCACATTCTATCAAGCTGCCCCGCCACCACCTACGACTTAACACAAAAGGGTCCAAGCTAACTCGTGATGTGGTAACTATAAAGTTGAAACGATATCTACTACCGGAACACTCAATACTACATTTGATACTCCAAAGAAAAGCGATTCCATTCCGATTTCCGGCCCTCAATCGACAAGACGAACTCGAGTTTACACACCATTGACAGGTCGCGGAGAATTACCAGGGTAAGCATGATTTGATTGTCATCCATACCTCACGTTTCTGAATTGAGCATGAAAGCATCGCAAGGACCATGCTAGGAATTCATTGTGGCATTGTTGTTCTGACAAAAAATGATTTATAGAGGATATTTTCCCGGATTTGCAGACGAAAACCCAGAAACTCTCAAATCAACAATTCTACTATCAACTTCACGTTCTAGAAATTCACCAGACATGCAACCAATCACAATATCTTCCATGTCATCACCAATGGATTCACCAGCTTCTGATACCACCATTCGTGGACCTCCTTCGATTGTCAACTCTCCTTTTACTCTACCAGAAACTTTAGTTATTCCAAAAGGAAAATACTATCCTTCGAACTATAAGCCGTCACCAACATCTCCCCTCCCGGCACCCCTCACGAGCATCCCTTCATCAATATTAAATGGTGGCAATCTTCAACTTCCTGCCAAAAGCCAACGTCAAAACCCTTCAAATCCCCATCATCAAAGGAAATCCTCAGACGTGAAACGAAAACTACAAAAGTACCAGAAAGATATGATTGCACAAGCACGTATGGTACATGCGTCAGTAGTTTCTACTCCCGGGGAGTCCGCACCAGGATCAAAGCCTATCAGTCCTAGATTACTTCCATTGGGTAGTCCTGGTCCTATTACACCGTTTGAATTGGAAGAAAGTTCTGGGTATTTGATTGCCGGTCAAATGAGATCTGGTGGATTAGCTGAAGGTGGATTGATTGAGAATGAAGCGGTTGCGAGAATGATTCGAATGGAAGAAGAAAGACGAAGACGAGAGGGGCAAAGTTCACCAGCTGCTCGAGTTTGAAGGAGTTCGGAATTTTTGAACAGGATGCAGGTGGGATGGGATGGGATGTTCAGCCACACGGTTTCTTCCGACATTTCCGGAGAACGATCAACTCCTTCGATCACGATTTACAAGATTATGCATCGGGCATTTCGCATTGAGCGATTGCATCAAAATACCCCGCACATTTCATTCGGTTCCCCACACTTTATCAAAAAAAATTATTGATACTCTGCATGAACTTCCCCCACAAAATATCACTCTACACGTCAGCACGTACCGAATATCCTTTTACACTTCTTGTTTCAACATGCATCACGCATCAGATATCTTTTCACTCTTCTTGTTTCGACATGAATCACACGAATCACGAATCATCCACGGCCCCTTTTCCTTTGTCAATTTGATATCCAATATTGTTTCTTACCGCATGTCATATGGTCAATCAATAAGAATTGACTAAACTCTACTCATTCTTTTTTATATCAGACCTAAATACCAAGTGCTGGTATATTAGTTTTACTTTTTGCATTCTCCTGCGTTGGGGGTTTAGGTTGTAGTCTTTTTTCCCCTTTGGTTTAGTTTAGCATGGTTATAGAGTCCGGATTGGGATGGGTTGGCTAGGATGGGGAGGAGAGGAATCTGGGTAGGGTTTGGCGTTGCTGGTCAAAATCAAATCTTACACATGGGATTTCTCATCTTGAATCGGGGGAAATTATAGATTGGGGATAGACTGGGGAGGAAATGGAATGGGATGGAATGAGTTGAAAAATGCTAGATACGTGTTGAGCGTCATCCTGCTTTGACGGGGGTTGAAGACTCTAAAGTATGGTTTAAGATGAGATGGGATGGATGGGATAGTATAGTATAGCAGAGGATGAAAAATAGCTTGAGAATTCATTATATGTTTTATATTCTTGAGGCTGTTTATGCGTGTGTGAGGTTTACTTGTTTTTGTGTCTGTCGATTTCGGCGTCGGTGTTTGCGTTTGTACATTCTCGAGAGTGTAGATGATGGTGCAGATCATGGTACATGTGTAGGTGTAGGTGTAGGTGTAGGTGTAGGTGTAGGTGTAGGTGTAGGTGTAGGTGTAGGTGTAGGTGTAGGTGTAGGTGTAGGTGTAGGTGTAGGTGTAAGTGTAGATACCTAGGTATGTGAAGTTGTATATATGAAGTTGTGTATTTGCATTTATGGGGATTGTGATTATAACTGTAACTGTGATTTATATAAAAAAAATTTGTAAGTGTAGAGGTATATAGATGTATAGATGTATAGATGTATAGATGTATAGATGTATAGATGTATAGATATAAAATAACACATGATATATCAGATAAAGGTGTTGAAATTGCTGCTTTCTTTCAGATGATTGAGGTGGTTTGGAGATGGAGATGGAGATGTAGAGATCTTTTTTATCATATGATGGTGTGTTTTTCATCTTGTTGCTAATGTAGCTCTGGCTATGAGATTTATTTATTTATCTATTACCTAGCACTTGATTCAATTGGCGGCTTCCAATTTCACATCTTCCTTACTACCCTCTCCGCTCTCCCCCTCTACTTTCTCCCCCTCCCTCTTCCCCTCCCCCTTCTTCCCCACCTTCCCCTCAAAACTCAACACCGCCATCCCCAACACCTTCCCCTCCATCTTAACCCTCTCCCTCGCGCCCTCCACGCCCGCCACAAACTCTCTAATCCTCGCAATCACCCCCTCCGCCTCCTCCACCGATGCCTTCCTCCCCTTCTTCTTCCCCGCCAAGATAACCTCGACCTTATTCCCCCTCTCCAAAAAGCTCCTCACCTTCTCCAACCGATGTCCCAAATCATTCCGCTCAATCGCCCAATTCATCTCAATCGTCTTCGTCACCGTCCCGGGATTCTTACTCTTCTTCACCTCCTTCTTCTTCTGAAACAGCTCCCGCTTATTCACGATCCGCGCAATCGGCGCGAGCCCCTCGTCCGAAAATGCTATCACCTCCAACATGTGCGTTTTGCGATCCACGCCGCGCAGAATCTGCGCCGTGCGCACAGGCGGGTCGAGTTTCCCTTCGGCATTTTTGAGCCGCAGAAAGGGCGCTGTGATTTCCGTGTCCCGCGGAAGACGCTGTTCGGCGACCGCCGTGGAGGTGCTTTTGAAGATGCTGCGGGTTTGGATGCGTGTTTGCAGGTAAGAAGAGGAGGGGGAGGAGAAAAATATGGGGGTGTTGCGGAGAAGAGATGTCGATGCGGATGTGGATGCCGATGATTCGATCGGGAATCCCGAGAGGAAGACCCGACGAAGAGCAGAAGCTGCGTTGAAGACACAGCGGGGATTTGTCATCGTGTACTGATTGTATAGATGGGGTGTGAGTCTGTGATGAAGCTTGAGAGAGCTTGTGTTGTAGATGCCAGACTAGAAGAATTTATTATGATGCGTGATTATGTAAGCGTATTCATTCTGCATCGTCATATCACGGGAAAACAAAAAGATTCAGTATTTACAAACGACTTTATAAATACAGCCTGCGCAAAATCACTTATTTGAAAAATCACCTATCAATGTAAATATAAAGAAAAAGCATGTCATGATATTGATAACACTCCTCCGACCACTCCCCCCTCGCCTCCTCCCTCCCTATCCCATTCCCAAGCATATCATCAACCCGCGCATCACCCTCTTCCCACGCTCCATTAGTATCCGTGCCAGAAGAGAAAAAGGAGGAAGCGAAACCCCCAAGCACGCCTCGCACCCCCTGCGCATCCTAACCTGGACCCTCAAATCACTCTTCATCTACCACCTCTTCCACACCTACTTCTATTCACTCGAGACGGGATCGGGTCCCTCGATGCTGCCCACCATCTCCGTGTCCAACGATTGGTTTCTCATTTCGCGTGCCTATCGACGCGGCCGCGGCGTCCAGGTGGGCGATATCGTTTCGTTTGAATCGGTGGTCGAGCCTGGTCAAAAGGCTTTCAAGAGAGTTTTGGGCTTGGAGGGGGATTGCGTTATGATGGGAACGCCAGGGAGTGGGGAGACTCAGATGATTAGAGTGAGTTTTTAAGGCTCGAAGGGAAAGTGAGGGGATGGTATGAAGGGAAGCGCTAATGATTTATAGATTCCTGAGGGACATTGTTGGGTAGTGGGGGATAATTTAGAATGGTCAAGAGATTCTAGGATGTTTGGTCCAATACCTTTGGCTTTGATTAAGGGGAAAATCATCGCTAGAGTACTACCGTGGAGCGAGAGAAAATGGTTTGAGAATGATTTGCGACCAGTGGCAGATGACCATTGAAACTGGGATGTAGTCACATGAAAATCACAAGTATTAAGGAGTTAAACAATCATGCCTGACTGATCAATGTCATGTGAGAGTTTCGACTATTTCGAGCAATGACTGGATTTGGATATCATAATGTCCTATCTAATTACATGAATAACAACTAAAGTTCCATATCGCTGTAATAAGTTGTTGAAGGGAGACGTCGTGAAAAGATATATTGTAATGACAGGAACCTCTGAAGGTCTGTCATGAAAACACAGGAATAAAAGTAGTGCAGCGCCCCCTATTCTGCCAATATGCTCGCTGCAAACTATTATGCCTTTGATTATACTCCTAACACCGTGCCCTACCCATAGCTAGATGCAAATAACAAAAAAATCTTTTCTTGTGCAAACCGCTCAACCTTCGATATGGGAAGACTTCCCACCTTGTCCGAGTAGCTGTAACGATCTTTGAGCAAGTTGAATAACTTCTCCTTCCCCATCTTCTTCGCCTTCATCGTCGGATTCAATTTGTTTATCGGAGATAGTCTTAATCATTTGTACAATCTCTTCTGACTTTCCAATCAAGCTTATTAATTTTTTATCCTCGGATTCCAATAGTTGTAACAATGTCCAGATTGCGATGTGTTGAAAAGTCGGATCTCCGCTAGCAAGGAAACGTTTTAGATAACCGTGAATGCCTCCGAATGGTTCTGTCCAGGCTTGAATGAAGATGGAGTAGTCACCGACTATAATTAGTTAGTATTGAAAATTTCAAGCATGATCCCATAAGGAAAACTTACCCTTGGACGACAAATTACCAAGAGCTGCAGCACTGTTGCCTTGGACTTCGATACTTGGGGAATCTGTCAATGGAATAAGGACGTCGAATACACCTAGGTTGAGAAGTTGAGTCTTAAGATCGTCACTCAAAGCCAATACAGCGATTGCAGCAGTCATTTCCGATTGAACACTAAGGGCGACCTCCAGAACAAGTTGTTTGCATTTTTGAACAGCTCCAGCTTGTAGAACAAGTTCCTTGTTTCGATCAGAGCTGGCAGCAAGGTTGCGAAGTGTCGATATGGCGTGGCATTGAATTTCTTCATTATCGGTGGAACCCAGTAAATCTACTAATGGTTTTAGGAAGCCGGCATCAATAATTGGAGATTCGTTTAATGGATGTATCGATATGTTGCGTATGCAAGCGACAGCAGAAAGTATTAATGGTAGATAAGAGGATTGTAAAAGTCGTAATAATGGAGCTAAACCGCGAGCGCGCACAATTTCTAATTGATACTTCTCATCAGAAGCAAGATTTCGTAAGGCCAAAGCTGCTTGACACTGGACTTTAGGTGAGGAGGAATCCATCAAGTTCACAAGGGATTGTATGAGTCTATTCTCATTCAAGGCGAGCTTCTTGCGGTTATTAGCATCAACAGCGATATTACTCAAAGCTGTTGTACAGTAATATTGTACATCTACATCAGAAGACGAGAGGAGTTGTACGAGTACGGGTATGGCACCAGCATTAACCAGTTGCTGTCGGTTCTCATCTAAATGATGTCAGTGTTTGTAAATGCTACGTCGAGAAGGTTGCCGCTTACCAGAATGTGTCATGTTCAATAAAGCGCCAGTAGCATTTCTCTGCACACGCATATCTTTAGATTTAGCTAGACGAGTAAGAGGTCCCAATGCCCCTGATCGTGCGATCTTGGCCTTGTTATCCTCGTGTGTTGCCAAATTGGTGATACAACCGACCGCGTTACATTGCACCTCGACATTTGGGGACATCATCTGTCTAATGAGAGGCGTAAGCCCCCCAAGAAGTACGATTGCTACTTTGTTTTCCGCTACACTCTTTGTTAGCTTGACTCATATCACAGGGAAACATAACCTACTGTTAACTGCTAAATTTCCAAGAGCTGCGCTAGCCGCTCGTTGTACCTCGATATCGGGACTTTGCAGAAGGAAGAGTATCGGCTCGAGGGTGTCTCTATCTACTTCACGAACATCTGAGAGGCGTCAGTAATAAATCCCCTGCACTAACGATAATCTAATCCCATCCGCCCTGAAGCGCCGCCATTCAAGAAGTGATATGCGAGGAGGACCATTATTTATACAGGTCATGCAGTTTGCTCGAGTCCAACATTGTGCACTTGCATCCATCCAGATATATTTAAAAAGACGTACCTCGTTCCGTTATCTCAGCAAATGTTAAACTAGCACTTCGTTGGAGGTCGACATTATCAGAAAATACCAATGTACTCAAAGCTCGAAGAGGTTCCCCGGAGAAAAAGTCGGTCTCGCCGCGCTGGATGATCATTAGACATCGAATTTAATGTTAGTCTAGGCTTTCCTTACATTCTCTAGGTATTGTAACAGGTCTGCCACCGCTTCTCTTTCGCTTTCTGCTAGCACTGGCTCATATAAGCCATCTCGGGATTTACCTGCACAGTCCAAAGATAAGTAAATAATTCCACAAGATATGATTCTTTTTTCAACGCATACCTCCGCAGCAAGACGAGCAAACACCTCCCATTTCTTGATGTTGGTCCCGTAGGACTGGTGATTGTGGGTTGTAGGGTCGGGTTCAAATTATTTTCGTTGGAATGAAATGAAATGAGGGCGATGAATCGAACAAAGCGAAGCTATAGGAAGGGGAAATGGCGTAAATTTCGATTTCGGATTATATTAATGGAAGGCTCGATGGCCATTCGTCGGGAAGTAGCGATGTGAATTAATGAATTGTCCTGGATGTTGATAAAAGGAAGGAGTGTTCGAGGATGAGGATTGAAGATTGAAGATTGATGAGTCGAGTTTTGAGTTTTGAGATGAGATGAGATGAGATGAGATGAGATGAGTTGAGTTGAGTTGAGTTGAGTTGAGTTGGCGGGAAGCTTTTTGGTTTTCTAACGCAGCACGCACAGCTTCGGTCTTTCACTTTCCTTAGGTAATTGGGTAATTGTACACCACCGCCGGCTTGTACACGCTACATGCTACAGAAGGCTATGCACGGACCATCAGCCTATGTAGTAGACTATGACGGAAAGAGGAAAGGTCGAGGAATAAAAATGGACAGGATCCTTGCTCAAGTTTGTTAGTATGAGACTACTAGGTGAGTACGAAGGAGGTAGGTAGCTATTTAACCTTGGAACCTTTGGATGATGTATGTTTGATGAGAAAATGAAGTGAGGCATGAATTTTAAATTCTTATTATACTGCTAGGTAGGTACTAGGTAATCATTTACCAATAAGGTCTCATGAACAATGAAACGACCGTCTAGAGAGACAGGTATACGCCAGCAATATTCACAGGAGCATGACAACCTCGCACGCTTCTTGCCAGAACCAACAAGAGGAGTGCTTACTGTGACTGGCTGGCTATCTTTCTATCGTATCTCGGTCAGCAGCATCAATCAACATGTACCGCTACATCTTGGGTTTGGTAGATCCCCTGCGAGTCTCCAGCCTCCTCTTCCCGCAGCGAAAGAAAATGGAGCCTCGCGGCTAAAGGTGACTAAAGATACCCAATAGATAGCATGAACGATATGCTCGGTAGGTCTATCTATATCGCTATCGGTATAGACAGGTAGGTAGGTACGGAGCAGCGACGAGAAGAATTGAAAACTCTTCCATTGGAGAATGACCAAGTGTCTCAGATTTTATATATAAAATCAAGTCAAGTTAACAAAATATACTACCATACCTGGTTACCCAGTAAGTAAGGATAGAACCACTTTCACTCTTCACTCTTCACTCTTCGCTCCTCACTCCTTATCCGATGATACCATATGGTCACATCTTCTTCCTCTCTCCCCATCCTCGACATCTCAGTTCAACAACCGTTGACCCAGTACGAGTACACATACTACCATTTATTCTTTGGTCCCTGAACCTAGATAGTGCGCTCATAAGGCTATCGATTAAAATAAAGATCAGAATATCAACACAACACAACACAACCATGCATTAACAGCATAACATTCACGTCTTGACAACTCAATTGCTCGATATGAGGAAAAGCCATACACAAAACAAGACTCGTTACCCTTGGATAAACATCCCTTCGATTCAATGAAAACCCTTCCAAATCGACTTATCACGTATCCACAATCACTTCTGGTACACGGTACACCACTCTACGAAGTATCCATTTACACCGATATTTTGCCCCAATAAAAAAAGATGCAAACGCATACACCCACTTGAAGCCTCACCAGCATAACCAATGGATATGGCATGGTTGAATCTCAAAGCCGGGTACCGATACAGCAACAGCGAACTATTTTATATCGACGTGTTTCCCTAGTGATGGTTCTAACTCTCAAAGATCAATGAGGTGGATGTACAGAGGGGTTTCACACATTGACATCTTCCACTTCAGATTATGCAAGATACTGAAATCATCCTGTCATTAAGCAATTTGGAGATAGCCACCATTCTATTTATTTTCCGAGGCAGATGCAGGTTATCTTTTTAGCCACAGAAACTCTCAAATTCGAGTTCATGCATGTAGGTCAAAGTACAGGGAAAGCAACTCCAACAAGCATTGGTCATCCTAGAAGAGTAAGATGAGTGAACGCTTAGGTATGCTGCTATTCAAACGGTCCCTTCATTCACGAGGGGATTTATTCTAGAAGATTGTTCGAAAGCTACTTCAGAGCTTAGAGTCTTTTCAATTGAACTGCTCGAGTTTGATGATTTACACTTGTGACTACGAATGCTCGTCGCACCGAAGTTTAGATAAGATAGAGGCAAGCCCCGTTCCATCTTTGAGATAACCCAATCGATAGAACCATATCAAGTCAAGCTCATGCCTTGGGCGATGATTTTTTCTTTCTTGTGAAGAGATTTTCGACTACTTCGGTGCGAGGTATGAGTTGGCATCGTGAGAAAATGTCTTTGCATTTCAAAAATGGTGTAGTAAGTGGATACTCAAAGGACGAATCCGGGGAAGGCAACCGAGCCTTTCATGGGAATCCGAAGAGGGATAAATCGACCTAGAATGATAACCGAACATGATGATGCATGTACCGTATGGATTCGATTCTTGATATATATGTACCGGGGGATTCATGTTAGGAAGATCGAGCAGCTTCCCCTCGAATAGTTTTATGCAACTTACATTTAAAGTCTTTGGCAAATCTTTGGCCATCACTGGGTTCCTCTTGCACGAAAGCTTCTAGGTTGCTTCCATTCCATTAAGAATTTGAAGAGCTAGACGCGCGCTGTGTGTATGTATGAATTTTTAGCCATCTAGAAATCTAGAAAGATGACGAAACACTCAAGGTTCCCCTCAATCTCGAATATGAAAAACGTTGACATCTACCCATCTAGTATCTAAGTATAGGCAATGAAGGAGGGATAAAATTATTGCTCTAATAATATACATACTGGCCTGGTAGGCAATACTCGAGCAAGTATCTAGTGCGACGGTGAAGGGAAGCAATTCTCGACATTCGTGCACACATAGTCGTTTACCAATAAGTTGGATTTGCTCGAATGTGTTGACTCGAAACAAGTAAATCAGGAAAGTTTATTGAGTGATGACGCTCCGCTGGGCCACCGCCGTGGAGGTCTTTTCGCACCGCTCTAGATGATCTTGATCGGTGAATACCTACCTCTACCTACCTATCCACCTGGGTAGATGGATGAATTTCATTTCGATATCAGACTTCACATCTTGCAATATTACGGTAAATAAAGTAACACAATAATGCAGAAGCTGAAATAGGTCAAATTTTGGCTGATCATATATATAAAATTCCCCAGGAAATCTGCCCCACCTTCGTGACTTTTGTTCTAGCTTTCAAAGTTCAACCCACCATTTCCAAGCTTTGCGACTCAATATTATCCATCTCCTACAGTACAACATACAACTCTTCTCATGATTCATCCTTCAATTTAATTCTTATTGAATTTTTCGGCCAACTTTATCTTTGTCCCTCCCCCCAATATCAATGTGCTCCCACGAATTGTCCCAAGCATAATCCATGTCTAATATGGCAGAAGAGATGCAGCCAGCGGCGCCCAATCCCGCAGACACCTTCACATCACAACCACCGGCTGTCGCTAGACATGATCACGAGTCGCGCATAGCTCAACCTTCGACATTCCTCCTTCCAAGAGTGATGGTCGCCGAGATGCAACAAGAAAAGCCGCTGGAGGAAACGCCGCAGGAAAAGCCGATGAGTGCGCTCGACAAGGAGCAGCAAAAGGGTCTGGTAAGATGATTCCCGTTATCGCTTGTTCCATCAGCGTGGTCACTTCAAGTCATTCATAAGATATTCGTGGGGGTTTTGTACTTCGAGTATCACACGGGGCTGACATACTTAATTCAACAGAAATCGATTCGAGATTTCCTCAAGCGCCGTACAAGTTACGATGTTCTGCCTCTTTCCTTTCGACTTATCATTCTGAATACCGATTTACTCGTCAAGAAGAGCTTGACGATTCTCCTACAAAATGGTATACAATACCCCAGCCCATATTAGATCACATCTCGTCGCTGATCTCTGAACTTTATAGGTATCGTTTCAGCCCCGCTGTGGGATTCGCACACCTCAACTTTTGCTGGTCTTCTTACGACTTCGGACTATATAAATGTCATTCAATACTATTGGCAGAATCCAGAAGCACTCAATCAGATAGATCAATTCAAGTTGAGTAGCTTAAGAGGTAGAGTCTACGACTAGGGTTGGTTGAGCGCTAGGCTGAATGAATCACAGATATTGAAAAGGCAATTGGCGTACTACCTTTGGAGACAGTATCAGTACATCCCGCACGACCTCTTTATGACGCCTGTCGACAAATGTTACAAACCCGCGCCCGCCGTATTCCACTGGTTGATGTCGATGACGAAACCGGAAAAGAGATGGTGGTTAGTGTGATTACACAATACCGCATTCTAAAATTTATTAGTGTCAATGTCGATGAGACGGAATTCCTGAAGAAAAGCGTTTCGGAACTCAAGCTGGGAACATATGGCGACTTACAAACCGCAAGTATGGACACCCCGGTGATCGACGTCATACACATGATGGTCAAACACAGCATTTCGAGTGTTCCCATTGTTGATAAAGATTCACGGGTCCTTAATCTTTTCGAGGCTGTTGATGTAATCACAATCATCAAAGGTGGAGTGTATGATGGGTTGACGTTGACTGTGGGAGAGGCGTTGGCAAACAGAGCAGAAGATTTTGCAGGGATCTATACATGCAGCGAGGAAGACAGACTAAATTCGATCTTTGACACGATTCGAAAATCTAGAGTGCATCGATTGGTGGTTATAGATGAAGAGCAGCATTTGAAGGGAGTGATCTCTTTATCCGATATTCTGCAGTATGTACTCCTACATGGAGAAGACGATGATTGAGCCTGTCCGATATTGGCAATGATACTACGGGGACGGGTGGGCGTTGCATAGCGATTTGGCGTACAGGCACAAACCTGATCTCACTGGTCATAAAATGGCCAAAAATAGATGTGATTGGGCGATTTATTCATATTCGTTAATATCATTTTATCGACTGCGGATTAGGGGTAACATGGCAAGTTTGGGGAATGGCTTGTGAATATTTTATGGATGATGGGCAGTAAAGTACTTACGATTCGGGAAATTTATCTTTTTTATAATGTTTTGATGGAACATTCTGCACTTCTAATTGATTGAAAGTTGGGACAATTCTTTTATGGATTTAACATTCTGGAAGTCAGAATCGACTTTGAACGAGCTTGTATATTGGTTTTCCGAGTATAAGTATTTAATAATCTGGACTGGCAGACCAGATGTGTGCTATGAAAGTTTGAGATGCTATACAGGCAGTTTCCCCAGACGAATATCGGAATTCAATATTTTGGGTCATTTTGATTCTTTGATTGAATTCAAGTATGAAAAGCTTCTCGTTGAATTGCACTTCGAAAATCTGCACATCCCTACAGTTCCTCGTTGGGGTCCTCACTCAAGTTGGCTACCAAGTAATTGTAAGTTGCGATTTCTTCTTTTGTCGATGATAGAAAATTGCACCTACCTAGTAAGTGGCGTCCATGTGCAAGAACAATCTTTCTGAAAGTTAAATCTGCAATTCTTATTGGCACATCGAGAACTTTTTCTGAAGGGCCTTTTTTTTTACAATTGACAAGCAACAATTGTTGGTTGTTGATTGTCTAGGAATTACCTGGACAATCAAAATGCGACCTAATCGTCTCAACTCCAGAGCATCATCAGCTACTTTATCCCTCAGACGACAGCAAGATGTCGCAACCTTATTCGCAGATGATTCTAGTATCACTCAAAACTTACTACGAGGTCAAGTAATCCCTATGAGAAGAACATCCATTAGAGCACTTCCATCGGATCCAAATATTTCTCTAGCTTTAGCAGGCGATGGCCCTTCGATCGCCGACGAGCCTTCAGACGTAGTACAACGACCAAGGATTCGACGCGGTCTTTGCAGTAGTAATACCTGGACTTCCTCAAGTGCAGAGGGCGAGTCTGAAAATGACGACTTGGATGATCGTACACATTTCATAGAAGAGTTCAACCGATTAGCGGATAAGGTATGCAAGAAAATTGTTTTTGCATGTCGAAGAAAGCTGATGGTCGATAGCATGGCGTACGAAAATTTATTCCCAGTGAATACGAGGATGTTCCTGTAAGTCGGTAACTACGTCCGGTAACCTCAAGTACTCACTTATTGAATCAGTGTATCGAGGATGGACCAGATAAACATGGTAACTGGTTATCCAGAAAGCTCTTCAGACGGACGTCCTCATCTCAGACGCCCGTCGTTAAATCTAAGAAGGCAGAACGTCGAGATCTCAAGAAAATGCGAAGCATCAGCGATTCATTACGACTGAAGAGCAGAAGAGACTCACTCAAGGATAGAGATCTGGTGGAACTTGTTCGTTTGTGCGGATCAAGTCTGTTATACCTTCCAGCCGAATATGCTGCGAGCAGCTTAACTTTACCAACTTGTATTCGTGCTACAGCTCAATATTTGATACAGCATGGTATACTACGAATTACATTCCGCTTTACTGTTTCTCATACACTAATTGATGTGTAGCTCCTACCACCCGTGGCGTATTTCGTATACCAGGATCTCAACACACAATTAACCTCATTTATGAACATTATTGTTCGAAAGGAGACCAAGGTCATATTGCGGGAACAGTAAGATGTCCGACTTTACCAGATCATATGGAGTGTGATGTACATGACGTTGCGTCTGCGTTCAAGAGATTTCTCTCTGGTATCCCTGGTGGTATTCTGGGGTCACTTCCATTATTCGACGCCCTCGTCTCCATCCAAACACATCTTAGGGGTGATCCAGAAATGACACGAACTAAGCATAGTAAAGTTCGAGCGAGACTTATTGCTTTGTCTATCTCGACTTTAAGGTCAACATATAGGCGGGAACTTATCTGTGCAGTCCTAGGTTTACTCTGTATGGTTGGTCGTGCGGCAGAGACAGCGCGAAGGGAAGATGATCGGGGCAGGCCTCTTCCTACTTCAGATCTTATGGGGTATAAACCATTGGGGATTGTTTTTGGCCCCCTACTTGTGGGCGATCTAATGGACAACTACAATATTCGCTTGGCCAATGGCCACGGTAGTTTGGTCCTCACTCCTTTGAGTCCACCAAAAACTAAGAAGGAAAGGAAAAAATATAAAAGTGCAGAAGAGGGTGTTAATTTCAATAATCTAGTTGACAAAATCAAGGTGGCCGGCGAAATTACGGAAATGCTCATCACTCATTGGCGTGATGTAGTACGCCATATGAAGAATCTAGAAGCCCTCGCATCCGTTGAAGGAAGCAAAATTACGGGTGCTCGGGGGAGGAAGCCACCCATCCTACGTCCGTCAATGTCGGAATCTTTCTCCTTACGGAGGCCTCCCGACTGGACATCCGACAAACCTAATAGGAATGCTGACAGGAGTCAATCTCCAACCCCACCACGGCGTAGAACCTCACCTCGTTCATGTCCAAGGCATAGCAGCGGGGATACTACTGAGCAACGGGCCATTGAACAGCAGGCACTTGATTACTACACGAATCCCTTACAGTTTGATGCCCTACCAGTCACAAAACAACGATTGCGCCAAAGGTTATCACCAGGAGAAGCTCTTAAGAACGCAAAATCTTCAAGTGCTCTTTCCACAGTTCTGGTAAAGGAGCATCCCGATGAAAACGATTTTCAAGATAGTGAGCTGAATTTTAAGCAAACCCCACAAAGTATTGTGCCATCTTCGTCTACGAGAAATGGAAAAGAAAATAACCAGAAGCATCCAGCCGTAGAGCATACTACTGAACGTCATGTCAAAGGTATTGTTCGAAGGCTCGAGAGCGAGTCTATTGAAGCTGAGGAATCGTTACCTGTCAGATATTACGAGAACTTGAGACATGATACGACATTGGACGCACAATCAAACCCACTATCACTAGATGCGCATTCGAAGAAGATCGAGACGACTAGCTCATCTTCTCTCTTACAGGATAGCGATCAAAAACATATGCAGGTATCTGCGCCAAGCCATCATGATACCCCATCCAACAGAGAAAGTCATATCAGATTTGCACCAAGCACATCCAATGCCCAGGATGCCAAAGATTTTCGAAGGCGCCAAGGCTTTACAGGCTCTGATTATTCCAAGGGAAATAGCCCTAAGGATCCACTTTCTCAGGTCTCACATGAGGATGACCTAGCATCCTTAGCTGTGCTTGGACAAGCCCTGGAATCGCCTGGCATGTCGATGAAGTCCGAGGTCAAGTCGATAAAGTCTACCGAGAAATCTGATGACCCGACGAAAAATGATTCAGGTATAGATTTCCATGAGAAAAGAGAGGCAGAGAAGCCAGTGAAAAAACCTAGCACACCTAGCTTTTTACGTCCCCATTTGTCTCGCCAGAATCCTCCTGATACACCAAAATCCGCAAAGGTTCATGTGCATGATGACAGGTTTGGAATTAAGAGCAATATTCCGCGAAAGACTGATTCTGCTGCATCTGTTATTACAACATTAGTGGAGCCTAAGGCTATACAGGCGAAAGGAAGACCTTCTCATGAAACCGCTTCACCTGCTACCTTGTCAAAAGTAGCCTCGATTAGAGAAATGTTTCGAAAGCGGAAGTCCGACAGCCGATCATCAAAATCAATCGAAGATAACCACAAGAGTGAACCTTCTAGGCCAGTCACAGAGCATCACACGGAACCCCATTCACGAAAGATTCCCACTCCCGAGCCTACTCGAACACCCAAGAAGGTCAGTGTTAGGGCCATGGCAGAGAAATTCGATACTGTGAAGGCAACACCTCCTCTATCGTCATCAGCTCCAGTCAAATCTACTATACCAACACCTATAACATCGGTCGATAATCGAAGAGGTGTGGGTGTCATCTCGCCTTATACTATCAATCCACCACCATCGCCAACAAGATCAATAGCATCTTTTAAATCCGGAAAGTCTATTCGTTCTTTCCGTAATACGGGCTTAGCTCAGCGCTTTCAGCAAGCTCAAGAGCAATCATCGCCCACTAAAATGCAAGCTCCTAAGAGAGTCTTGAGAGATTTTGTACCAGAACCTATCCCGCCACAAGTCATAGTTGAGAATTCTCACGAAGACTCTGTAGCCTCATTGAGACGTCCGCTTTCTACTTCCAATTCTCTCACCGTTCCACTGAAGCCAGTGGGTCATCAATCACCTATGCCAATTAGACAAGCTGGAATGGATGGTGCATATAGTAGCATTGGCAATTCTGATATTATGTCTTTGACATCATCAGAATTTGAAGCTGCACATACTTTTCTACAATCACAATCACAACTTGCTCACAATGCAACGCTTTCAAAGGATACTTTGACTCGCGGTAACACAGTCTTACACTCGCAAATACGTAAGCTCCAGCAACAGGTTTATGAAAAAACTGAACAAGTACGGCAACTGCAACGACGATTTGAGATAAGATCCAGCTCTGATACTGAGCATATCGGCTTGACGGAACAATTGAGAGAATCGAGAGAGGAAGTAGAAATGTGGCGAAGAAGGGCTGAAGCAGCCGAGAGAAAGCTGGAGCTGATGGATATAATTAGGGCTAGAAATGATTCGAGGATGGAAGAGCAGCGAGGACTCATCTACCAAGCTAAGAGTGTCCAGGCTGAAGATGACATTGCCTCACATGGAAGAGGATATAGTGTTGATGATGGTACGAGGAGATTAGTTTTGAGACGAAGGATGACTGGTACAATGAGCTCGGAGGATAGCGCTGGGAGCAATGGTACTATTGTTAGAGAGAGGAGTGGAAGATATGAAGATGGAAGTGAGATTTGTATGGATGTTAACACAGATGGGGTTAAACATAAAGATTGGGCAAATCAGACACTTTCCATCCTGGATGGGTTTAAAAGTTGGGAGAACTGATGAATTGTGTTTTTGCTCTGAAGTTCCCTTTTGGCAGTTGATAGGAAAAGCGATGAATTAAAAAAAGGGAAAGGAGCAATGGGCGATGCTATCAGAAAGACCCCGATTTTGGTTTCTGCTTGTGTAATATTCATATATTCTTAGGATGAAAGAGACAATGAAATATAATTTTTGGAAGAAAGTTTTCAAACATCATTCGGATGAGACGGAAGTCAAATTATTCATTTGTTTTATAGATAGATATCAGACTGGAATAGCGAAATTCATATGTTAGATATGGGTATAGCATTCACTTGAAGTTTCGTTATTCTGGTTTCATTATTGTTCTTTACGGTTCACTTTTTAATAGCTTAAATCTAAGTTTTCGCTTATTCGAACCTTTGAAGTTTCTTCCTTTCATCCATTTAAAGAATTGAGGGCGTGGGAGAGAAATCCAGATCGAATCTTCCGACGTCTTTAATTTTCTCACAACACAACAACAACACAATATCATATTGGCAAACAAACAATTGTCTATGGATAACTAGCAGTTACGACTTCTTCCGATTACTAACTTCTTCGGACATATTCTTTTGAGAACGCAAGCGCTTTTTGTTTTATAAATAATATAAATGAGAGACGTTGTGCGTGGAAGGAAGATTGGTGTACGGTTTTACAGAATTCGGGACTGATACTGATATCGACGCCGCATCGAATTATTTATTTGATTTTGCTTGTCCATCTTGCATCTTGCGACCTTTGCAGATTGAGAGAAGAGATACACTGATTGCGAGTAAAGCACCAGTGGACAGTCTGATCAGAGTATATCTATCTTCACGAGGATACAAAGACACAGACCGAATACGAGAGATGACGAAGAATACGATGGCGCTTACGGAGAGAAAAGTTTCTTTTGGGGGCGTACACGCCGCTGAGGGGGATGGGGGTGGGAATGGGAATGATTATTCGGAGTTGGATAGGATGAGGGAGAGTAGAGATCGAGGGATTGAGGAGAGGAACGAGAGGGAGAGGTTGTATAGGGAGGAGATGAAGAAGAAGAAAGAGGGTAGAAAAGAAATTGAGGAGGAAGAGAAATTGTGGGTTCATTGGGAGAGATGGAGACTTAGTTTTTGGTTGGGTATGTTTTTTTTTGTTTTTTTTTAACTTTGGTTTTATGTGACTTCAGTGTGAAGATTCACTTCAGCAAGTTTTCTTATCATCCCGGAAATTCAATGAACCAAGCTAACCCATCCATCCACCCAGTCATCTTCAACCTCTTCTTCGCCATCCCCGTCGCATACATCATTGCCAAATACGCCATTCCGGCTCCCTGGCGCTGGTCGGTATTTCTCCTCTCTCACCACGCACTTCTTCTTTGTGCATATGAATTCGCGATGAATGTGCAAGAGCGCATGGTGGGCATGGCTATTCGGGAAGCGGAGGAGGAGAGGGAGTTGGAGCAGTGGGATGATGTGGTTGCGAAGCTGGAGACGGTATTGGAGGAGAGTAGGAGGAATAGGAGGGTTATGGAGGGGGTGGTGGTGGAGATTGGAGCGCTGGAGGAGGAGGACGTTACGGGAGAGAAAGAGAAGAGGCGGAGAGAAATTTGTACGGCGAGAAAGAGGATAGGGGAGAAGATTAGCGAGTTGGAGGGGTGGGAGAAGAGAGGAGTTAGGATTGATAGGGAACTTTTGGGTGCGTTGAAGAAGGAGAGACATGAGTTGTGGTATGAGACGACGTTTGTTTCGCCTGAAGATACGAAGAGCGTGTGGTTTAGAAAGTCGTGGAGAGAATTGTGTGATGCGGACGGGGTCTTGGAGGATTAGATTTTCGGTACTGGGGGCAATTATCGAATGGAGAGGATGTTTGGAGAGGGTGGAGAGTTTACTATATTAGATGTATGGAAGCATGAATGGATGGGTAGGGGTTCAGGGAAAGAAAAGTTTGTGGCAGTGAAGGAGTGGATGTATTTGATATCGACAAAACAAGATATCTCTACTACATGCAATGCAGTAAGCAGAAAATAGACCTGGAGTAAAGTTTCTTAGAATACTCTTCTACCAACCGCGTTCTCTCTCGATACATGTGAACCTTTTACATACATATGAGAAGCTAAGCTCTTTACTGAACCCTCCTGATAGATCCTGCGCGGTACCTTGCATATGTTTGAGATAAGACTATATTTTAGGTTTCATATTTCACGCTTGCGCTCAGCGTCAGCATCGAACTTCATAAATCAAACAAGTGTCAATCCTATTTATCTTCTATTACAACATACCCATCCTACCACCCGTCCAAACCTAAGCTCATGTGCATGACAAGGTTTGTTGTCTGGATTATGTAGGAAGTGATTTGATTGGACATAGATTACGTATTTTATTTTTGTGGATGGATTACTGATCATAATATAGATTTGTGAAGCACATACAAGCAGAAAGGACATAAAATTGCAAACACCCGGTTCCCGCTGCATTGTCCACCACACACAAATATAATCCTAAGTGGTTCATGCGCCTATCAAAGGTGACCAGTCTTCCTTCCTGACATAATCTACCCAGGTGGCCAAGTTGTAACCATCTGGGAGGTACTACTGGTGTGTCAGTAAGAAGTCTCAGAGGCAAACCATAATTCTTACCTCTTTCGTCTGTACATGTCTCCCACTCGTTAACATCGATTCCTCGTACGGTAAGGCCTCAACGAGTTCTGTGCTAGCAACGACTGTATCTGGGGGGAGTCCATAGCTCGATAGTCGCTTTGCATGCTGCTCTGAGGATACTTGCTCGAATCTAGCTTTGATCCCTAGTTCTGTGTATGATATTAGGTACCAGGAATTCGAAATTTACAAGAAAAACTTACCATCAGCCCATATTTTGAGTCTTTCTTCTTCCGGAATGGGTTCTCCAAAAAGCACAACCTGTCTTCCAAAGAATTTTTTTCCACCTCTCAAGACTTCTCCAATGGCCATTCCTGTGTCCTCAGCATCGGAGCAAGGAACCCTAGTATCACCTGGATATGGCATTGAGAGTGCAAATGATTTGTCTGGCGCCTAATCATTCTTATCAGTCATCCCATCAATGCAAAATCAGAAGAAACAAAAACACACCTTATAAGGACCTAAGACCATTGGATACTTGACCCAATTTTGAAAGTAGAATGCGACAAACACCTCTGTAGTTTTTTTCCACAAACTCGGATAATTCTCAGCCAAATCATGTCGAATCAGTGCTTTAGCGTTATATGGTAAGATATTCTGAAATTGACGGCCAGCTAATGCCCTTCCATCAGGTAGACTACTCAATATATAATGTTCGAGGTGAGGAAGTTTGGAAGCAATCCGATTGATAGTCTTGGCTTGAGCTACCTCAATATCAAGTGAGTTTTGCTCCCAGAAGTTGGTGATAGCAAATATGGCATGGGCTCCGGATAGAGCAGCCTCGATGGAGTCAGGAATATCATAATCGGCAGAGATGACTTCGGCACCACATTTGGATAGAGCTTGAGCAAATGGCTTTGTAGGGTCACGGGTTACGGCCCGCACTCGGTAAGTATGAGAAAGATGCTTGAGGATATAACGGGTTGTGGGGCCGCCCTTGAGTCAGGAGTGTTAGTATGCTGCACTAAACTTAAGGGGTATGTAAGAATGAATGTACTTGTGCACCAGTAGCTCCGAGGACAACTACAAGCTTCTTATCTGTCATTGTGAAGTATATTCTAGAGTTATGGATTGTATCGAACCTTTCGAGCTTTCTTGATATACAGGTAAATGATGAAACAACTCCCCGCTCAGCCAGACTGTACTTTGTCTAGTGTAAGAGAGCACTTACTCATCAACACCTTAGGCAGCGTGAGTTGATTACTGATTCAAAGTATGCCCGTTCGCGTATGCCATTATCAGTGGACAAAGAGCAATCCAGTAGATGCGGCAAACAAAAGCATGACTTGCATGTGATCCTAGTTCTAGTGAAGATCACTTTCCGGATGCTACTCCGTAGGTACTCATCCTATTACATAAACTATTTGGACTCAAAGTATTCGTGTGAATGAGGATGCGAGACCAGACATGACTCTTCAAATCATCCTCCGGTGAGGATAAGATGAACCAGATGTGCCATAGCAAAAGCGATTATTATACTCCTGAAGCACCTAAGTAGGGACTCTTTATGAATGAAAGTCAACTCGGGTCCATAGGTCTGGAGGAAATCAAATCAAATTTGGGAGGTTGATAATATCAAATGTGTGTTGTTTTCTTGTTGGACTCCGTGCTTTACATGAAGCTCCGGTGGCTTGATGTGGCAGATGCTAGCGTGTTCGGGTATGCTAACACTATTATAGCTAGCGTTAGGCCTTTTCGGAGATCTTTCCCCACAAACACCGATCAATTTTCTAACCTTACTCTCACCTCATTTTCGATATCAGAACAACAAATACTGATTACCCAAGTGGAGATCATGGGTGTCAAGGGGTTCAAGGGGTTCAAGAGAATAACTCAGAAAAAGTAATATGCATTCTTCGAATAGAAGACGTCTTTGACAACTCCGCGGAATCTTCAATATTCTACGATTTATCCAATTGAATGCAGCCAAATATTGTCCCTTTTAAACGTTGGGTGTGTGATTAATCTTACAACATCACCTAACCCCGATACTTTGTCAGATTTTAGTCCGACAAACATCTCCGAAACCCCATGAAGTCACATTATCTCCTGCAAATATTGCGCAGAAACACCTTGAAAGAGTACTTCCAAGACTTCATCTGACCCTATCAATACCAACAAGAATCGCGAAATTCTTCGGGTTATTGAGCAGTTATGGCCGATCCAATTCATTCATACTCCTTTTGCTTTCAAATCTGGCACGGAATCATACCGTTCGGTATTGTACATTTCAAACAGGCTGGAAGCACCCTTGCCATGTCACAGTCTACTTATATAGTGGTATAAGTCTTTCGTACTCCCAAGTTTCATAATCCTCATCACCCTTGATCTTCTCAAGTTTGTCTACACCTTTCATCTTCATATATCGTGAAAGCTGTGACTTTACAATGTCGTCAACTACAGCACCAGCTGTTCCCTCCACAATAGCCTCTTCAGCCCCATCCATAGATGACAAGCCCCAAAGACTTGAACGATCAGAAGATGCCTTTACAACAGATTCAGAGAAAGGCCCAGTAACTACCAGTCCACCACCTGAGCCTGAACAAGTGAGAACAGTTACTGGTTGGAAATGGATCGTCATTTGTGTCGGTTTCTATGTCGCTACTTTCTTATACGGCTTGGATAACACTATCGCTGCTGATATTCAATCTGCTGTCCTTGGAACCTACGGTGATATTTCAAAGCTGTCTTGGTTGGGTACTGGTTTCCCGTTGGGTTCCATTGCTACGATTCTCACTATGTTAGTATTCCTTACATGTAACATAATTTTGCAAAAACTAACTTCATTGCTAGTGGTAAAGCATATGGCACTTTCAATGTCAAGTGGACCCATGTTGTTTCAGTCGTTATCTTCATCGTCGGTAGTGCTGTGTGCGGTGCGGCGCCTAACATGAATGCACTCATTGTTGGAAGAGTCATTGCCGGTGTAGGAGGTGCTGGAATGTATCTCGGGACCTTGAACTTGGTCGCCATCAATACTACCATTACAGAACGTCCTCTTTATCTGGGAGGTGTTGGTATCACCTGGGGTCTTGGGACGATTCTTGGTCCTGTCATTGGAGGAGCCTTCGCAGATTCAGAAGCAACCTGGCGATGGGTTAGTACTCTATCTTAACATCAATCTACAGAAACTAACCATTCATTTAGGCCTTCTATATCAACTTAGTCATCTTCGCTATTGCTGTACCGGCTCTTCTTTTGATCCCATCATTCGACCCACAACCCGACCTGGACGTCCTTCACAAAGTTAGGCACGTTGATTGGATTGGAGCTTTGTTAAACGCTGGTCTCTTTACTTCATTCGTCATCGCTCTTACCTTCGGTGGTGCCAACTGGCCTTGGAACGACGGACGCACCATTGCCACATTCGTCTCCTGTGGTGTTATCTTCACCCTTTTCGCAGTCCAGCAACAATTCTGCATTTTCACCACACCCGAAGATCGATTGTTCCCAGTACAATTCCTCAAATCACGAACTATGATTCTCCTATTCATCTGTACCGCAGCAGCAGGAACCGCACTCTTCGTCCCAATCTTCTACATCCCTCTCTTCTTCCAATTCTCCAAAGGCGATGATGGCATTCAAGCCGCTGTCAGACTCATGCCATTTATTGTTCTTTACATTGTAGTCGTCATGTCGCAAGGAATACTTATGCCAAAGATTGGTTACTACTGGCCATTTTTCGTTCTCTGGGGTATGTTCGCTCTCGCTGGAGGTGCCGCAATGACTACAGTCACCACCTCTACAAACGCAGGCTCGATCTATGGCTGGAGTATTCTCATCGCCATTGGCTGCGGTATGATCACTCAAGCCTCCTACAGTATCGCCCCAGCTATCCTCGGCCGTGATGGTCGTGGCCAAGAAGTCCCTGCATCCATCGGATACATCAACGTAGCTCAAATCGGCGGTGTAGTCATCGGTCTCGCAGTCTCCGGTACAGTTTTCCAGAGCACAGCATTTAAGAATGTCAACAACGCATTTGCGGGCAAAGGCTTCTCAGCAGACCAAATCAGAAGCGCAATCGCCGGATCCCAAAGTGCGCTATTCCAAAGCGTGTCACAAGAACTTAGAGACAAAGCTATTGAGGGAATCGTGCAAGCAATTGACAAAACTTACTACTTGGTTGTAGCTGGTGCGGCATTGACATTGCTATTGAGTTTCTTGTTGAAGAGGGAGAAGTTGTTCATGGAGATGGCTGTAGGTGGATAAACGATATGATATGATACCATGGAACTTAACGAGGTGGCGAAGGAAATGGTGCGAAGTGGAATGGGATATGCGAACGGATTACATTGCATTGCTTGTGGTTATGAGGATCAACCTAATACCACAAGCTCCTAGGGCTGGCGTTTCAAAATACATATGGGGAATGGAATTCATGCGTGCAGTTTTAGGATAGATTAAGACGAGACGTAATTAAGAATTTATAGAAGTCGTTGTCTGCATATCTCGCTTGAAATTTGTTCGTGCTGCTCTCTGACCCTGTGTTCCATCTCTGGCTAGGTAGGTAGGTACTTCAAATGCCGTCCAGCAAAGCGTCAATTCATTCTAGAATTCCGTGCAAAGAGACGAGAGTAAAACTTAAGCAGGTGACTCGCTAATATCAGCAAGTTCAAAATAGATGCCAGATAGGAGATTCAACCAATTCGTCATCTTAGATGAAAGCTCACGATATACTTTTGAGGAAAGGACTAATATCCTCCAGTGAGTTGACACCCCGACATAGAAGCTCGAACGTATCAACTGACAATTGGGCAAGTCTAACGAGTTTATATCATTGTAGTTTGTAAGAGAATCTGGAAAATCTGAACATCAGCCTAGAAGAAACAAAGACCCTTGTTGTAGAAAGAGGGAAGAGGTGGAATAAATGAATGATCGATCGATTGATTGGCTTATGTTCGAAGTTTTTTGAGAACCGAGACCAGAGGAAGGGAAATGGGCCAGAATTACTTTCTCTTTAGGGTGATTTCGTTTTCATAGCTCAGATACCCGTCTCGCCAATCTAGTTGATGAGGACCTTTGGGCTGACAGGTCAGGAAGACCCTCGTCCTTTAAGATTGCCTTCTCGCGTGTCTCTCTCGAGATGTCAGACTAGATCATGCTACTCAATAAGTAAATTCAGAGGATTGGAGAGTTTACAACCTCGTATTCTTTCAGCCAAGATATCTAGGTAGATGTAGACTTGCGAGAATTCTGCATGTAGATTCTATCACAAATCAAAAGAGTCCCAGTCATACTATGCAACAGCTGTACTCAGCTTGAGTATCATGGAGAGCAAAATCAGCAGATATTACAAATATGATACATTTTTAGCTATCATAAATATCATCTCCTCAAAGACTTATACTTATCACTAGCATGACGTGCCTCCCAACCTCTAGCCTTCTGTTTTGGCTTGAGTGCCGGGATTCTCGTTCTCTTGAATTCGATGTCCCATCCTTCGATTCCTGCTCTCTGCATAACTCCCTTGGTACCCTCATCCCATTCGCTTCTGAAAAGTCCCAATCCTATGGGTTGTACATCATGTCTGTCTTTGAAACCTCTAAGATTGAATCGATCACGTTGATATAATTCTTTGAGGGCTGCTACGTCCAGAACTTGTCCGGGCTTTTGCTCTAATACGAATATTGAGTATCGGTGATATGGTGATCCCTTTTGCGCAAATGGTGGTAGCCATGGCAAGATCAATTGGCTCTCTGGTTCTGCTCTGGATAGTGGTAGCGAATCTTGTACCGGTGAAATTGGAATGTTGGCAGCAAGGTAATGGCATCTCGTGTTGAAGTGATCATTCTCTACGTTTGGAACATCTGCATCCACAACCACGACACTGACGAGTCTCTCCCCTTTGTCGAAAACTTGGACCTTTAATCTAGCTGGGAATTCACTGACTCTAGAGTCCACATAATCGCCCGGTTGAACATTACGTGCTTGGAACGCGAGACGAACTTCGGCGGTAGGTTCGAAATGAGGAAGAAGATCAGGGACAATCGAAAATTGTTGTAAACGTTGGACAATTATTTTACGTTGGTATTCGCGCCACTTTCGATCTGCTAGGTAGCGGTAGATTGGCTTGTTCATATCACCTGAGAATTTTAGTAATGCAACAAGGGAAGATATTCTGCAATTGTCATACCTTCACCATCTTCGAATCGCTTCTTGATCAAAGGATCATTGATATCTGCTTGGATCTTCAAGTACTCCAAATACCTCTTTATACTTTCTATTCTGGTTTGCTTCTGCTTCTCACCCCCACTAACTGATGCATCCTGTGCCTCCAAGTTCCTGAGCCGCAATCTCTCCTTCGCGATCATCTCTAACTTTTCCTCTCTATCCGCTTGTAAGACCTTTCGAGCTTCTTGGAAACATTGATATGGTAATTGTTCAAAGGGGATATTGGCGGAAGTCTTCAGCGCCGCACGACGACGTCTTGATCCTATGGGCATGATACCCTGTCTCATCAATTTCCTCTCATTTTCCGGTCTTACGACAGTTGCCGGGTCGAGACCAGAAGGCGCTGCTTCCTGAGCCGCAGCTTCTGCATTGAATGTCGTGGAGCTCGTAAACGTTCGTATTGATCTTGCAGTTAGATATAATGACGGAGTATTCTGTAGGCATCGCGCCATGGGCCTTACGGCCTTCTGACAAGGAGGCATGGTGATGTGGTGCTGATATGTGATGTTTCGACAAAATTATCGAACGCCATATCAAATATTGGCGGGACATGCCGAAGAATTGCCGAGGAAATTTAATTTTGGCCTAGCCTCGCCGAGATTCATCGAATTCAACGACGACAGCGACCCTATAGGATTTAAGTCACTCGAATATGGCGACGAAGGGACTCCAGAGCTTTACGAAAAGCTTGAATGCTTTTCGCACATCAATAAATAGTGCCAGAGACCCTCTGACAGTATGTTGTTTGCATTGGAAATCGAGAAACAGAGTACTGATTTTATTGTAGCAATGTCTAGCACCACAATTTACAAGGACAATGGCAACAGAGGCGCCATTACCATCCAGCATCTCTCAAGAATATGAGTCCAGTATTCTTACAAAAACATCAGATGTCACATCTGACCCTTTCAGTAAATATTTTATGCCAAATATCTCGATCTATCAATTAACACCCCGCAGACCCCCCAGTCCTAACCACCATCTACAAATTTCCTACCATGGAACCCGTCCGATTCGAATCCTACCCAAGCAAACACCTCTACCTTCCCCTCCGTCGAGATCTTCTTCACCGCGCTGTAGTATTCGAAGGCGACAACACCCGTCAAGGAACTGCATCCTCTAAAACTCGCTTCGATGTCCATGGTTCTCATCGAAAGATTCGCCCGCAAAAAGGAACTGGTGGTGCTCGTCTTGGTTGGAGACAATCGCCATTGATTGTTGGAGGAGGAAAATCATTCGGTCCTCACCCAAGAGATTTTGGAACAGACTTACCGAGAAAGATGTACGATATTGCGTGGCGGACGGCGCTGAGTTGGAGGTATAGAAAAGGGCAATTGATTGTCTGTGAAGATGGAATGGAATTCGAGCACCCAAAGACTAGATATGCAAAGAGAGTTTTTGAACATTTGGGATGGAGCAAGAATAACGGAAGGACGTTGATTGTGACGGGTGGTTTCAGGAAGAACCTGTCCAGCGTTGTAAGCAAAAATGATGCGACGGTGTTGGATGTGAACGAAGTGGATGTTAAGGATTTGTTGGAATTGTCAAGGGTTGTGATAGAGAAGAGCGCATTGGATCAGATGTTGGAAGAGCATCAGAGTGATCTCGTGAAGAAGGTTAGGAGTGCTGCGTGATGAATGAGCTATGATAATATATTTGCTCTTCTCTTGTGTATAGAGTATTGTACAAAAATTGTAACAATTTCTAGATGAAAGTGCAATACTTTGCTCTAAGGTGTATCATTGCTCAAAGCGCTGATTTTTATCTCGCATGCTTTCTAATACAATATAGTACGCTGCACGGGGTATGTGAGATTTGCCAACAAGTCAATTTTTCCAGATAACTGAATAAATGTTTAGATTCTGACATGATGTTTGGAGCAGAACCGCTCAAGTGAGTCTTCTTTCGTTCTTCGCCAAATTCAACATGACTTCCAATTCTTTTACCAGTCTTTCTACACCTACCCACCATTCCGTTCATGCACAGTAGGCTCCTTTTCTCCATAGCTTCGGCGAAGAATCATGCACTTCTACTCATCCCTTTCTTCATTTATTGTTTTGCAAAGCATTTTATCATAACAGACTTCTTTACAATTTACAATGGCACAAAAATTATCGAACAAGTCAATGGGCTCCAATTCTCAACCCTATAAGCTCTCATTCAGATGGCCATACTACAGGACACCTGGCTAACTGGCTGGAACACCATTCAACACTTGCTGGGCATCCAACAAGGGAAAGTGAAATCAGGTTATGAGATTCTGTTGCCTAAAAGCAGGTTTATAAAGCAGGTTTACGAAGCAGCTAATTTTAGTTATCTTGAGCCCTAGACAATATCAAGCTGACTGGCAATATGTTCACAAATTTCAGTTCATAAAATCATAATATTAGGTCACCTAGAGGTGGCTTCTCAAGTGCTATACATTTACAGCACAAATGTAATCAGATAGTCGATCGTGCTCATTCGCAAGTATATTGCATTTATCAGTGTAAATGTAATGATGATCTCTCTGCTCCTTCATCAGATACACCCAAGCTCAACCAGCAACAGCAACCTTTCACTACCTAGTAGAGAATTCCATTGACTCATATTAAGACAAGTTGTCTTTTGAAAAATTCACTACGAAGTTTAGATGCTAATCATAATCACGCCTTGGTGAGTCAATAAAATTGACCACATGCAGAGATAATAACACAGTGCCTTCTATCCTAATGATATCATCACAAAGCAATAAAAGTGAATGGGGTAGATGAAGAGATTTGAGCTGATAGGTGGGTTTATTCGTAATGTCTATCTTCAGAAGACAAGTGAATGTTAGCTATTCTGCATACAATCATCTAGGAACAATCTCTTTGTGGAAGACAAGCTTGATTGAGTTTTGGATCAAACTATAAAGCACAGTCTGTTTTTTTCTGTATGGAGGCAGAGGAAAATGGAATCCATCATTAAGCAATAGATGATCACAAGCACATAACAAGGTAGTCTTGGGAAAGAGAGAAGGCCCCAGGAAGACGATGAGGGTGGGACTACAATATACCAAGCCAATTTGTAAGGAATATCATGTCTCATTGAATCACATATTTTGTAAACTGCTGTAGCTGATACATGACCGAATAAATGATACCCAAATTAGTGCTGTTGGCATACAATGTTTCCATGAAACTAAGAGGATCAGTCAAACGTAGCAGACATAATAGTGCTTGTTCCTATTCAAACCCCAACAAACAGTACATTTTCCTCTGCTAGTATAAACCAAGAATGAGACCTAGCTGGATAATATTGATACAACAGAAATGTCTCTGACGATCACAAACACAATTGTGCATGTTTTATCTTTCTCATCTAGGAAACCAAACCAACTTGCTATCCCAATAAAGAAAGAGGCAACTTTGTTGAAGCCACTAAGTTAAATATTGTTGCAATTCACTGCTACCTTCCTTGACTTTGTTTTATCCTAACTCTCTGTGTCATTGTCTATACCTATATATATATGAACCTCATCAATACTTTCCCTTGAAATATAATATGCTAGAGGACATCAAAGTCTGAAAAGATGCAGGTGTAGGTCATGATTGAGGGTGGAATCCATGTCCAAATAAGAAGTTCGGGAATCAAAAATCGCTTAATGTCAGATAGCAGTCTAGATCTTTGGGGGACTTGTGGAGGAGAATGTGTAAGAACCTGATTAGTGATTCTTCCCTGTCATTATTCGCTAATACCATACAGCAACACTCACAGTCTATGGCTGAGCCACAACTAAGAGGTCGCTGTAGTAAATAAGCGTTGTTGCCACTCGGACCATCTTCTAGTGATGTCGATATTTGTTTTCTGAAATTACCTACTTAAGTATCAAGATGTGACTTGACTAGAACCTAAACACTTAAACACTACAACTTCAGAGAAAAAATCTCGATCTATCAAGTCCAGAGTTAAACTTCTTTATCAGATTTAATTAGAAGTTTTCTTCAATAAAGAGATAACTTTCCACCAAAGAACTTTGTTTACCAGATATTCCTCTTCAAAATTTACGGCAGCACAATGTCGATCCTTTCTAGCAACGCGCTACCTAGAGACAATGGTGTTCTTTACCATAGTATTAGTCTCTTCTTCAACAAGACTCTTTCAGAGTCAAGATATAGACGACTACCGGAAAAGGGAGGATTCAAATTCATGGAACTCCCTGCCGAAATCCGAAACATGATTTGGGAATTGACAATTGAACAACGATTAGGTATGCACTTACTCATCTTGGCTTTAATCATTGAACTATGCCTTTGTCGCGACTTTCCTCTAGACCCTCCGAATGGAACTTTTCCATACTCGAATTTCTGGTGGCAAGTGAAAGTGGCGATTCCGTCAATGGGTTGTTATTGTACAGGCTTGCTAACTTACCATTTAATAGTCAAAGTCCGATTCACAAATCAGAAGTTGCACGGCAATAAAATCACCCATGACTTTGTTGCAGACATTCCGATAACTCTACACATTTGCCAAGACTCAAGAAAGTTCGCAATGGGGCATTATAAGCTCGCGTTCGATCATATGGGAACTTTGCCCCTGTCTACTTCAATTTCAAACTAGACATCCTCTACCCTCGTGCTAGCTGTAGCAAAGAGCAGCTTCATCTTTTGACCAAGTATATTTACAAAAGAGACTGCGACAGAGTTACTTACCTTGCAATGTAAAACGAGCACCTTGAACGAACTCGGTCATTGAGCACCTGGAAGGCCTTACCTATTCGTTTCCCCAACCTTGATACATTCATCGTTTTGTTCAAGAGCTTTGTCGACCCCAAGACGGTGGATGAGAATACCTTGCCTCCATGCAAGTACAATAAGGTCTGGGTGCCTTCTCGGGGTCAACAGAAATACACCCCTACAGGTCGTAGACATCCAGCTTGGGTGCAACACGACAGAAAAGTCTTGGAAGAAAGGACAAGAGCATATCTCCAGCCCCCTATCCATTGGTGTCAGAGGAATAAACAGCAAAAGGGTCATCCGCGTCGAACACACTTACTTGGTGGAAAAGTTATGCGTAGAGATCCGATGCACTCTCATGATTGGGCCATGGAGAAAGCCCAACGTTACCGCAAAAACCTACGTGAAGCTGCAAGCGGCACTCAAGGGGTTTGTTGGGGTGCGAAATTATCAGTTGCGGGAATCTGTGAGCATGGACTGGAGTTTGAAGAAGCGCCTGAACTTGCATACAAGGGTAAATTCTTTCGTCACTTTGACGACAATCACGAGGCGATTAAGAAGTTTTACGAACCAGGAACTGTGACTGGAACTGTGAACGACCAGAAGGAGGCGGAGAGAAGAGCGAGAAGAGAAGCGAGAAAAGAGGCCAAATGAAAGGCCAAGAAAAAGGCAGAAAGAGAAGCCGAGAAGAGAGCGGAAAAGCGCGATTGGTTTCGTCATTAGTGTCAACATGATAAGGCACTAACTGTATGCCGTAGATAGGGAGGAATGCATTTACGAGTAGCGAGAGAAACTCGTGGTTGTTCGGTTTCCGTCTGTCATTTGATATTTGATAGTCTGATACCATGCAGTTAATGGCTTTAATGATTCCTTGCATACTATCCTTTGAAGTGCTCTGATTTGAACTATGCGCTGCCAGAGATAGAATGACTCTCCTATTTCATAATCTAACTTAACGCTACCATCCAATAGCGTTATGAATACTTTTGAATGCTCGAATGACTGCTAATAAATCTGCAACTTGACTCAGCATGCAATATTCTATACATGAGTTTCACTGTGCGCTTCAAGAATTTAAATGCAAGACCTTCATCTGAAATATCGTTGAATCATAAAGCGCAAGGTGAAGATTTCTGGATGCCTTTCTCAGCACTTCACTGTCATTTATGTCATGGTGTTCTGCTCAAATTCAAAGATTCCATCGAACAGCATTCTTGAAGGATCTTCTTAATGTTGATTCTTGCTCGGAAAGGCAGAAAATGGTTCAACACCCAGATCAGACCAAACCCTTCCCATGGGTCCAGTCTTATAGATTCAACCTCGAGAGGAAATACTAAATTTCTCACTCGAAACACTAGTTTGTCCATAAAATCAGAATTTTGTTCCCATTAAATTCGCGGTAGCAATTCAGTATCCTGATTTCAGGACACCCAGCGGAATCTTTCCCGGCAGTGTTGCTACACTGCATCTCCATGTGAAAGTCAAAGGGTTGACAAGGGGGAATTGTCTCAAATCTACTTTGACTTCCCCCTTTTAGTCACAGACTAAAATGGAAAAACGCATCCTCGTTTGTAAATTGGCGTTCGACGGCATCGTCATCGTAAACTTCAGAATCGGTAGACTAATTCAAATCATTCACCAAGCTTATCTAGTAGTGCCTCGAAACGCATACCTTTCTAGAGGATCTCAAAAGCTTCCACAATATCTTTTGGTGTAACGTTATTTTCTCTTCTCTTGATTTACTGAGGGGCATCATGCCGTTTATGTTCAAGACCGAACGCCACCCCCTCGTCAAGCAAATTCCACCCCACATTCACCACCAGCCACCGCTAGCCAGCCTAGCATATCACATGCTCACGTTCCCTTGACGCGTTTTAGTGGATTTGTTTTCCAGCCCACTCAGCCTCGTCCCGTAAACATTATCGAATCCAATATCACATCAAACCTCACCTCCCACACCAAACCAACCAATTCAAACCGACAAACTAAATCATCACGAAAACAGTTCAAACCAAAGATTTCACCATCTCACCATCACCCCGAATTCACAATCTCATCATGGCCGAAACACCCACCACCCCCCGCATTACCTCTCCTTACTTAAATTCCTTCACTTCGCGCACTGTACGTATGGTTGGAAAGGTGACGCAGTTACGAGGTGATGAGGCAACTATCGAGAGTGATGGGGCTGTAACTGTGATTCTTAATCGAGTAAGTTCTATAACAGTTCTTGTCTTTTCCAACCTTTGAATCTCTAGATCTTCCATCTCCAGATTGATTCTTTATTTCCAATTTTCCCGTCCACACTTACCCACCATCCTCTCATCCAAAAAAATACCTCCAACCCCCAAACTAAGAAAAACCACAGGACTCCCATCTCCAAGTCGGAAACGCCGTCGAGATCGTCGGGAAAGTAAACCAAGACCTAAGCGTCAAAGTACTAAAAGCCACTGATTTCGGCACGAATTTCGGTATGACCTTTTCCTTCTTCCCTTGCTACTCTCTTTCCTCCTGGAAGTACATAACATGCAAAAAAACAAGCTAATACCGTACCCCTCAGATTTTGCAGCAATGAATGCCCTAGTCGACGCAAATCATCGATACAAGGAAATCTGGTACACCGAGGGATAAGCGATTATCAACTGTTACCTGTACACAAGAACATTGAGGGCAAGACGAGACACCAAATTATAATGCCCTCGTTACAGATAAACGGCGCAGATATGCAAATACCACGAGAGAATATGACATGATATGAATCCTGCAGGGTAAAGAGAATGGAAGAGAATGAGAAGTGATGCTACTTGTTAGAAAGAATGAAAGAAATCGAGGACGAGCAATGAATGATTAGAGACAGCTGTGATCTCTATTCCTGCTTACATTACACCTCTTTATTCAATGGAATACCTTGATGGCGAGCTTATCGAGAAATACACATAGAAACAACACAACATATAAAGCCTACTCAACAAGTTCCAGAGAATCATGCGTAGAAAACTCACTCACATCACAAACTTCCACTTACACAATCTTCACAAGCACAATTGGAAGGTAAGCCAGGCGTCTAATCATAAACTCTTCATCATTCTTATGCTCGCTCGACGTAGTACTGGGGCATCTTGAAAAAAAAACTCGTAAAACCTCGATGTAAAAAACAAAGCTAAACTATACAGTCATAGAGTAATCCAACCAATGCTTATTCCAAAATTCCCAGATTTTATCATGCATTTAGCATACATGATATGACAAACAACGCCATGCTGTTGTAAAATGCATTTCCTTCATATGTGTTCCCGTCCCAAAAAATCCAAACACCCACTAATGCAATCCATCAATCATGATAAAATACAAATCCGCGCTCTTATTCTTGTTCGTAATTGAAGGAGATCGACTAAGTCGTCTCATTCGTCATCGTTTCCTCCACTGGTTCCTCTTTGATTTCCGCGTCTCCTGCCTTTTCCTTTCCCGTCGCCTTTTCATTTTCTGTTGGAGCAGTATCGAAATTAAAATTACCCCAATCAAGAGGACCTCCAGCCGAGGTATTGTTAAATTCAGTGAACATCCTTGGTGGTGAGGATGGCATCGGAACATCTGTCGAGAAGAAGTCTTCATCATATTGTTGGAGATTGTAAGATCCATGGTCAAAATTAGGAAGATCAGGCAAATTATTAAAATCGAGGTGTTGAGAGGGAGAGTTGATAGGGTTATCAGACATTAGCTGGTTCAACTGAGCAGTAAAGGGTGACTCGAAAATGCCGTTGCCCCGAGGAGTTCGACGACTTGATCCAGGAGTCTTACTTGGGGTTTTGGGAGGTGGTAAAAGATGACTTGGAGATTTTCCCGAGCGACCAGACCTGGTTACACTCCTAGTAATGGGCCTGTGATTGGGGGTTGGTCTAGTGGGTGTCTTGAATGGATTTGGGCCGGGTGTTTTTTGGTCTGGTGTGGTGGGTCGTGCAAATTGCTCCTCAATCAATCTCATAAGTTCAGCGTCCTCTTCTAGATCAAATGGGACCGAACAGTTCTCCTTATCCATGGTTCCAAGGACAGCATCTTTAGCACCCTGGATATCAACGACAACCTGAACGACATTTGTTGTAACTTCGCCTAGGACTTTAGGTGATGAATCCTTGCGTGGAGAAGGAAACAATAGCCTTCTGGTTGTGTCTGTTTCTGGCTCTTCTCCTATTTCGATTTGATTATTTTGTGTCCATCTAGCTGGACTGGATTGTAAAGCTCTTCTCAATGCTGCCGAAGCGGAATCTGAAGTCATGGCGTTCAGCTTCTTGGAAGGACGAAGACTGTTTGCACGGCGCGCTCCATTTGGGCGGTCGTGATCAGTAAGTATTTGATTAGTAGAATCTAATCCGTCAAGGTCAATTGGAGACAAGCGGTCGGTACCAAGAGGAGCCACAGGATGCTGATGAAAAGACTCGGATGGGGGAAAATTGGTCTCTGATTGTGGGAAGTTTGCCTCTGATGTGGGCATCACCGCCGCTGCCTTAGATTTAGAAGGTCGCTTTTTCTTTGCATCCGGATCTTTACCCCATTTGGCTTCTGGACGTTGAGACTTATATTTTGACATCCATATACCGCAAGCTATAATAATTAGCGACAAAATGCATCAAAGAGTATACATAACTTACGGTTGCAAAGACTGAATGCCTTGAACTGTTTTTGGTCTTCACCAGCAGCAAGGGCTTTTTTGATAAGGAGATACGAAGTGGGGAGACCCGCATCATCTCTTGTAAGAATGTTGATGGCTGTAACTCTCCCAGGCTCTTCGGAGTACTCATGATAGCCTGGAGCACCTTGACATTCTTGTGACCATGCCCTACGCCAAGTTGGGGTCTCTATAGCGCCACAATTTTCACAATACTGAGGCATCTGTCCATTTCTCAAGGCGTTCTCCAATTTCTGTCTAATAGAAGCTTTCTTGGCTTCTGTCTGGGTAGGTGCACTTGGAGCTTCGATCATATAATGTGGATTCTCGGACCAAGTCTGAGATCGCTGGAAAGTCGGCGGAGGAATAGGTTCACTTGCAGGAACAGTCTGGGGGACCATCGATCCGGTAGAAGCTGTCCGAGAAAAGTTTCCAGATGCCGGACGAGGTTGTGGTGGTGGCAGTGCTGCAGGGGCATGCATTTCTGGCATTGGTAGTTGCGTGAATTCGCTGGTTGGCGGAGTCGGAAGATGTAAGGTAGGTGGTGGTGGGTTCGCGCTGAGAGCAGTTTGAGACTGGGAAGGTGGTCTAGAATTCGGACGAGTATTCGTTTGTAAGGGAGGTAGTGATTGCCCATCCTCGGACATGATACTGTTTCGTCTAGATTTTGCTTGTGTTACTGTTGCCTTAGGCTTCGGCTTGGCCTGTTCACTGAGAAGCATTCTTTTTGGTAGTAATTCCATAGGACCTGGCGTTTCTTCTTGGATGTGAAATCCACCGTCAGCATTTGAATTTCCTGGCTGTGTTTTGCGAGGACCTCGTCGCTTGGTGCTCTTCTTTACAACAACAACATCCTCTTCATCGATTGGGCGTGGTACTTCGTCATCTTCCCCGAAAAGGTCATCGAGATCGTCCAAATTACCGCTCATGAAGCCGGAGTCTAATCTAGGCATAGGTGGTAGCGAGGGGCTTGAAAGACAAGGAGGGCTAG